TCAATCAGAATATTTTATTTATTTTGTTGAACGATGATAAAATTGAAAAATTTGAAGATAATGTATTTGAAATTTTTGACCATATTTTATTGTTTGAAAATCGTCATCAAGCAGACGTAATCGATATACTTCGTCATTATTCAGCAAAGGGACATCCTATTCCAGAGAATACAATCTTTGCATTAGAAAACGTAGTTGGTATACCAGAATTTTCTAATAAAGTTTTAGAAGTATTTGAAAACATGATTAAAAACAAACAAGTCATCAGTGAGAAAATTCTTCATATTTTTGTCGATACACTTTATCTATCTGACAATGAACAACTAAGAGAGAAATCTTTTCAATTACTCGATACAGCTAATGATAATCAAGATATATCAGATGAAATATTTGATATATTAGAATTGGAAAGGGCTGCTCTTAATATTAGTTCACGTTCTGTGGATAGTGATTATGCTATTGCTTATTTACAAACAAAAACAAAAGAAGGTAAAAAACTAACAATTAACGGATTTATAGAAATAAATAAACAAATCGATAAGTTGTTTTTACTTGTTGAAAAAAGCTTGAAAGTTTTATATAATGTTTCAATTAATGGACAAATAATACCTAATGAGTTAGTTGATAAACTTGTAAAAAAATTTGATCCCGTACAAAAACAGTATTACTTGATTAAAATTTTTGAAAGTTTAGTTAAAAACAATCAAAATATTCCAAATGAACTCTCATTGAAATTGGAGAAAGCGTTAGAATATAAAAATATGTGTGATCAGGTACTCTTCATTTTTGTTCTTCAAGGACAAAAAGGTGAAAACTTATCACCAATGATCATTTCTAAAATTTTAGATAAATTTTCAAGTATAGATAATTCATTGATCATGCAACAATACTTAACTGTTATTTGTTCAGTAATTAAAAAAGTAGACTGTTTTGAATATGATTCTAAAAATTCTTCTTCAAAAACACATTCTCAGGTGTTCGACATTAGTTTAATCGATCGTGTTCAATCAGCTTTAATTCATGCTCTTGAAACGGGTAATCAAGACATTATTTGTAAAAGTATCAGTGGATTTAGCAAACTTACTTCACTCGGTACAGTTAAATTAAAAGATAAAAGCATAGAAGTT